AATGATGTGGTTTATTATTATTTCAACCTCAGATTCTTGGTCTTTGCTCATTTTCTGTGAAGAACATATAAAATAACCCATTTTCAGTGTCTTCACTCTGTTCACCCCCCACACATTTATATATTATGGTGTTGGGTGAACCCGCGGGGAGTAAAAGTGTGGAGGTGCTGTGTCCTTCACTCTGTTGTCCTCCTACATGGCTGCTGTTAGTGTGTGTGTGTCTGTGTGTGTGTGTGTGTGTGTCTGTGTGTGTGTGTGTGAGGTTGGACAACATGGACAGGCTGCTGACTGGCTACAGCTGCTAAAGGAGAACCCTACGCTGGACACATATTTTAAACATCTGGTATTTTTACATAAATTGTTACGGCTGGATTGATTTAAAGAAACAATAATGCGGTGGGTCCACCAGACCACTGAGTAACAAACACATCAACACCACAGAAGGGTTAGGAAACAAAAAGCTTATTTGTGTGAATATATTAAAACACTGCACAATAAGGATGGGCATTCTGAATAATTTGAATATTCGAGTATCTGTACTGGGCTTATGAATGAATGTCAACCACACAGAAGGAAAAAACACAAAAGAAAAAGTATTTCAGCTGAAATGAACACAGAGCTGTGGCGAGCAGTCATTTAATACTTGCATAGTTTAAATGTAAGCATGATTCTATTGAATAAAACTGAACTAAACATTACATACATGCATTATGTAGTTCCCAGAAATCATCAGGCCTTCTCTGAAAGCCCAGCAGGCCCTGAGAGTTCCCCTCAGTATTCAAACACTGGCACTTTGAACAGTTAACCAAGTTCTTGAGTATCTGTGCACATCCCTAAAAACATCTATAAACATGATGAAAGTGATTTTTTTTTTTAAATTGGCAACACACAACATTGGCTCATTCATCAAAGCTGCATACATCTAAATCTGATCATAAAATAGGCGCATGCAAATGTCAGTTTGGTTATACATCAGTATCATCTTTGGCATCATAGCATGAGAGTAATAATTTGGCAATTTAGTAGAAATACTTTATATATAGTAAAATAAAAAAAAATCATCAATATCAATAACATTAAATATGTAACGTAACCTAACAATGTAATTTGCACATGTAAATCAGATCTTGCAGTTTTTGGTCTTTTTCTTGGCTCATTATTCTTTAAGATGAGTAGTAAAAGTCTAAACAGACAAACATCTGAGAATCAGACACAAAATCATGGCAGATTTAACAGGCTAAGAAGATCTCAACTGTACAAGAAAGAAGCTGTTTACACCTTGAATCAACAAGCATTTTCATTGAGACGTATACATGCACTCAATAATCCGATCATAATCAGATTTCAGCAATGGTCATGTAAACACCATACTCCGATCTAGAAATCTGATACAGAGGCTGGATTTTAGCTCAGTAATCAGATTTCTCAGTGCATGTAAACTCTTACTCCGATTTCTCAGTCTGCACATGTGCGAGATCAGATGTTGGATGTCGCGAGACGCAGCAAAACACTGTTGGAGCGGCGCTGAAACCAATTTCTCAGTAAAGGATTTGAATATTCTTCATCTTCTAGATGATGTATGTTCATATTTTCAGGTAAAGTGACACGATGTTTAAAAAAACTGCGGTATGAAGTTATGTTTTCATCACAACTTCTTCTGTGAGTTTATTGGCTGGTTGGAAGAAATCAGATTACTGCCTGACTCATGTAGACCTGGAGTTTCCCATTATCTGATTACTCAAGTGCATGTAAACGTGTTGATCAGATTACTGACAAAATCAGATTTTTTTTCTGAGTTATCAGATTATTGAGTGCATGTAAACACATTCACTGATAGGATTATGTTTGAATTCCACGTTCAGATTTTACTATATGAAAGACCAGGTGTAAACACTCGCAGGATGCACTGTGATCATATTATGATTGGATCACTCAAACCACATTCAGACATAGTCAGAGATGGATCTTGACCACATGTGATGCAAGTGTAAACGTAATGCGGTTTCTATGTGTAATTATAAGTCTTAACTTCCCTCTTTTGTCTAAAAAGTCCTCTGGACAGCAGTGGTGCTGATCACAGAGATGATTAGTTGCCTGTTTAAACTGCGTTCTATTGAAATCTGAATACACAGTCTGTCCAGGAAAACAGAAACAACGTATCTGTTGTGCGGGAAGTAAAATCAGATCACATCTGGAGACACTGTGAATCCATTTTAGTGAAACATATAAATGGAATCAATACAACAGCAGGGAACACTCGGGGCCTTCTAGGCCTTCAGAGAAGGTCTAATGATTTCTGGGAATTAAAAAATACATGTCTGTAATTTTTAGTTCATTTTAATTAAGAAGAACCATGCATGCATTTAAAGTCTGCAAGTGTTACAGTACTACTTTTGTTTCCAAGTTTTGCACGGAAACAAAAGGTTTAAATTCCTAAAATTCTTGGCCAATCAGGAATTGTTTTACATAGATATAGTTAAGCAAGCTCTTCTATTAGTGAGGACATTAGGAAATGAAAAGAAGTCCTAACACGTCAAAATAATCATTGGCATAATTACGCAGTGACAGAGAAATCAATCACGAAGGCATTTTACATGAAACATCACTCTAGGCCTTCCGGAAGTTCTAGATACATCTTTGACTGGTAATACAAGTGGCAGCCTAATCAGTGTGTTGCTAGAAATGGAAAACAGCGGCGGCAGCTTTACACCAGAGCTCACTACTAAGTCACAGTAAAAGTGCTACAAGGTGAAAAATATATAATATGTTTGTCACAAACTTCAAGTAAAACAAAGAATGTCTTTTAGAAGCTTCAGATGTCTGTGTTTAATATAGAACTGCCAAAAAATGTTCATGTGAAACGCCATTAGCTCAGTGCTGACAAAGATGTAGAATCCTACAGTGACGATAGCGCTTTTTCCTCATGTTCTGGCCCAGTTTTGACGTTTATGGCCCAAATTGAAAGCCTAGCTCTAATAGTCACAGTTCGCCAAAGTATTTAAGATATGATTTAGACAGGAAACGTGTTAATGCAAGGTGTAAACAAGCTCGTAGAGTAATCCTTGACTGCACAGGGATTTTTTTTATTAGCATTACAACCAGCCTGTTCAATGCTTTCCTTTAATTGATTCAAAACTGCACAAATTAGGGTGCATTGCATATGTATATATATATATATATATATATATATATATATATATATATATATATAAGGGTTAAAGGGGTCTGTCATATGCAACTGAGCAGGTGCTTCTTTCAACGTAGCAGAAGTGGATTCATCAACTGTGCTTATTTCAATGTCATACAACAGTTTAATGAATCAGATGCTGAGTAGTTAGCATGTCACTCTGGGTTAAATCTCCCCTCATTTTTACGCAACTTTAATAAATCTATATTATTACCTACCAGTGCACTTGCAATACACAGAATGAGTATGGTTAGGGCTAAATAATTTAGGGAAAAAATATCAATGATGATTATAGACTATAAATAAAGACTATAAATTAAGCTCTGGGTCTTTTTTTGCCAAGAAGACTAGCACATTAATTTCTTTGGACTTGAGGATTGATCGCTGAATGTGTGCCAGTCTGCCAGTTCACAAGCTCATTGTTATTACATCAAGTTTCTAAATAGGACGTATATTTAAGTACAATGTATGTTTAAAATTGCGCTCTTTTCAATACAGAAACGATTAATCATTCAGCCCTACTCATGACAGCTCAAACAGAGCATTCTCTCATCTGATTTAACATTTTTTGACGTTCACTGGCAAACATGTGTTTTCATTGGCAGATTATAATTTAAAATAAAGAACTATAAATTGCAATATTTATTTTCAAACTCTTTTCTGTCAGCCAGTTAACCAAAGTTCATGAGACACCTCCTGCATGAATGCCCCCAACAGAGCATTCTTGCTGCAAAGGGCATCCATCTGCCAGTTCTCACTCTGTCTAATTCAATGAATCAAATGATCCAAAGAACTAGGTTGTAATTATTCCTTATCCATAATTATTCCAGCTGTCACGAGAAGTCAGAAAAACAAGACCCACATCACCACCCACAGCTGTACATCCTCCCTACAAAGCTTCATCAAGGCCGAAACAGGCTCATAATACCATCGTGAACAGAATCATACGTTATCTCAGCTTCCTATGCGACTGAGATGGACCTCTGAAGTGGTGTTGTCATTTTGTAGTCGGGGTCTTGCTCAGATTAGAAACTCTGGGTCTAATCAGGTTTTCTCTGTGGGTAAAATGAATGGCATTTTCGAAAATTGCTGCTAATCGCACCCTGTGGTCAACAACGATCTGAACCCGATATGTTTTGCCGTAAGGAGTTTTACCCTCTGAACGTTGCCAGCTCCTCTGAATTACGAGGAGGTTAAGGAGCTGAAAAACGACTATTGCCACATACAAGCTAACACTGCTGTGGACTGACTGGCAACCTCCCCAAAATACTCCTCACAAACCAGCCACTTGGTACTTAAACTGCTTTGGCAGTTTTAGGCTGCAGTTTGAGTAGCTGGTGTTATTTTACAATAGTGTTCAATTAGAGAATTAGCTAATATCAAAATTTGAGAAGTAAGACGGGGGGATATCAAACTACCCCAGATAAATGGCATATAAACTGTTGTTTGGGACACTATTTGTGCAGTCGGGGTCTCTCGAGACCCTGTGCCACTTAATGCTGGAATAAAGAAGAAGCCTTTTTCCCTCTTTCCACAAACTCAGCATCTGAAGACTCTTTCCTTTTGACATCTTTTGAGAACTTAGACTTAGAACAGTTATTAGTATAAGCACTTAGTCAGTATTAAAAGATTTCTCTTTTATTCATAATATTATGTTGGAGGCTTGGGGTTGAACGAGATAGCCCTTGGTCCCAACAAAGGTGTGACAGAGGTGGTTTTCCAAAACAGCAGTTACTTCTCGCATAGAGAGAATTTGATTAGACCCAGAGTTCCTAATATACGCATGATGCAGGCTATGGAATGACACATGAGTTTAGAGGTCTATTGAATCAGTACGTGACTCTGTGAAGGTAAAACGGTTAGAAAAGCTGCACTCTTGAACCACTAGGTGCCTACGGCCAACCTCACTGCTCTGATTCAATACAGCACAGCCCTAATCTCAGTGTTTTTGTCAATGTACCAATAGAGTAGTGAAACGAAAACTCTGGCAAAGAAAATGCATAAATACATCCCTAATCATTCATGACCCAATTTTGACAATAATTAATTAGGACACAAGCACTCTTGTATGTCTAGACGTGCAGACGCGTTACCCTCAGAGCTGATAAAGTTCTTTTCCCCTTGCGAGTGGAGCTCTCCTCTCATACTGAGATGAAGACATTGGAAGCGGATGATGTACATAGCTGTAGTTTACCACCCCTCCTTCATTGTCTCCATCTTCATCCTCTTCCTCATCTTCCAAACACTGACTGTCCCCTTCGGATCCTTCTTCCCCCTCTCTGTCCTGCCCATTCATCCTCATTCTCTTCTTGTTGTTGTTCCTCACCGAAGCCTCCAGAGCCTTCTGTTTGCGGTAGAAATGTGAGAACTTGTTGAATATGATGGTGATGGGTAAGGCCACCACCAGCGTGCCTCCGAGGATGCAGCCTGTAGCCGCTAGCTTCCCTGCCACCGTGACAGGCACGACGTCCCCGTAGCCGACCGTGGTCATGCTAACTGTACCCCACCACCAGCAAGCAGGGATGGTGTCCAAACCGACGTCCTCCTCATATTCTGCAGTGTAAGCCATGCCAGAGAAAACAGACACGCCCACCGCCAGGTACAGCAGCAGGATGCCCACCTCTCTGTAACTGTGCTACAAGGGTGAACATGAAGCAGGGAAGAGAGTGAGCTGTTTGAATTCATGTGTGATATTTCCAGAGAGATCCAGTCTCTTTGGGCCAGATGTCATCTTATAATGTCTAGAGATGACCATAAGAAATTTTAGACTAATTGTGGGTGGAAACGTAGATTTATTAGGGTGGAAACAAACTGAGTGTGAAATTTTGGTACACCAAATATAAACGGGGGTTAGACTCAAAAGTTCCAGAAACTCTAAGTGAATTTCCAAAGCTTTTGACTGTAGCTTTTTACTGACTCTTACGTGCAAATTCACAAACATCACTCGCTTGTGCCATACAGTGTGAGACAAGAAACTTACTCACCATAGGAACATTCATTAGCTCTCTGAACAGCCGCTGTGACAGACGCTTATCTATTGTACGTGGCTGTAGCCCTAACAGCTCAGAAATTTCAAGCAAAGCCCATTTAACGAGGGATGTATCGTTGGTTATTTTCATCTGCCACCATGTTTATTATCATCAGTGGGTGCTGGTTCAAATCCCACGACTGACTAGGTATGCCTGGTTGTGCCCTTGGGCAAGGCACTTAACCCCCCACTGCCCCAGTTGGTGCTGCTCTGCTGGCAACACTGTGCTGCTCCCAGATTGGGCATAGTTAGGCAGCAAAATGATGAATTTCCCTTGTTGGGGCAATAAAGTACATAACATAACTTTGGAAAACTGTCAATTGCCTGAGGGACAACAAGCCTGTCTTAGCCCATTTATGTAACGCAAGTTAGTCTGGCTGAAAAGTTCTCCCAGAAAACTCCCAATTATGCATGTTGATGTGTGTCATGTGTTTGTGCAGAGAAAACATTACATGCAGCAAAAACAAACATCACTTCTTACAAGTGAAGACAGTTTTGTTGGCTTATGACAGTGTTTCGCTAGCTTGCTTGGTCTGCTTGTCTTCTTGATTGTACTTTTGACGTTAAAAAAGTACAGACTAGAGGAATTTGGGGGTGGGCGTTAGAGGGGGATAAGTCCCAAGATGAGTGTTCTCACTACAAGGCTTCCAGCACTGAGTGAAACCATACAGTGTCAACGAAAGTCATAAGCAAACCATGGTATATTTTTATGCCCAATTTCCTACTCAATGTTAATCACTGTCAATTTTTACTTGCTATTATGAGGTACCAATAAGTATCAATCTGTTAGAATGACACATGCCTCCTTCACAATACATGTAGCTAGCCACTGCACCTTTTGGAGTTAACTGCCCAATTTTGCATTCTTCACCTCATAGCTACACATGGTTGGCTAATATTGATAAGGAAGCGGGGGACTAAGCCATTCTTCCTACACAATAAGAGCAGAGTCAGTTGTGTGCTTGTGGATGCATGTCCCATTAAATAGAACACAACCTTCTTAAAACTGGTTTTCCTGACCACTCCTGACCTGCCATTACACAACACACGATTTTGAATGGAAATCAAAACACATTTTCATTTCATACACTCTCAGAAATAAAGGTACTGAACTGTCACTGGGGCAGTACCCCTGTTGTCATTGGGGTGGGACCCTCAAGGGTTCATCTCAGTACCTTTAGTCAGGGAACATAACTGAACCATAATCCACTGAAATGATATGTTCTAAGCTGTACTGACTCCACACACCCCGTCTCGTCTCCAGGCTTTTATTTTACTGTTCTGATTTAAAACATTCGGTTACGAAAAAACAACCACTGTTGTACCTTTGAGGGAACATTTACACTGTTTGTACCTTGATGAACAAAAAATGTACCTGAACAGAACCTTTATTTCTAACAGTGTAGCATAATGTGTTTCCAAGAGAAACACAGTATCAGGGAGGGTTTATGACAGTGGTCTTCAACCCTGGTCCTGGAGAGCTACCTTCCTGCAGCATTTAGTTCCATTCTGTATCCAATAAGCTGCACTCTAATACATCTAATCTAGCCAATCAGGGACTTGGGAAGAGGTTGATTATCTTGAACAGGTGTGGCAAACTGGCTGGAACTAGGCTGTGCAGGAAGGGCGCTCTTCAGGACCAGAGTTGGCGACCACTGGTCTATGAGCTAGCTGAGCGGTTTCTCTCTTTGATAGGTGGGGACGGTGGGAGGGGGAGATAAAACATATCACTGGTTAACATTTGTTTGATTTGACTGTGAAAACCTGTATGGTCTAAGCAGACTAGGTCCCATTACTTTTAGGACTGTAATGTCCAGGTAAGATTATTATTATTCCCCTGATGATGTATTTTGATTACCCTACCTTTAAAGTAGCGCCGAGTGACCTCAGCCCTGTTGAATGTCGGGCCAGCTTCAGCACCCTGAAGATTCTCATCAGCCTGAGGACCTGGACTAGTTTCCCTAAGTTCCCAAGCTCAGATTCGCCACCAGCAAGCAGATCAAAGAAGAGCGTGATGTAAATGGGCACCACTGAGATAATGTCAATCATGTTTAGTGGAAGGAGGAAAAACTTTCGACGGTTTGGGGCGAGAAGCATCCGTGTCACCACTTCGAAAGTGAACCAGCAGATACAGAAAATCTCTAAAGCTTGCATGGTTGGGTCCTCAATTTGCTGACCGTTCTCATCATACATGTGATACTCTGGGATGCTGTTGATGCACATGGTGGCAATTGACATTAGCACGACACTGATGGAAAGCAAACTGAAGAGCTTGCTTGGGATGGAATATCCTGGGTTTTCCAAGGTCAGCCACAGGCACTTCCGAACATTACCACAACGCATGTCCTGGAAATGCTGAATGTCCTTGTTGAGGTCAGATATCTCATCCACGGAAGTGTCCACACTGCTCACATCGCTCTCCTCATCCCAGGACTTGTGATGGCTTTCCAGCTTGCGATCATGGTACCGATAACTACAGCAACTGTCCAAGAAGAACTCGTTGATGCCCCAGTACTCGATCTCCTGGCAGAAGGAGAAGACGCACAGCTCTTCCATGATGTGCAGCTTTCCGGTCTGGTAGAAATGGAGGACGTAAGGGAAGAGGCCAGGGTTCCGGTCGAAGTAAAACTCCTTCTTCTGAACATCATAGTCATCACAAACCTGCAGAATGGCTTCCTCTGTGTCACAGGACAGAAGGCGGCACAGTCGCGTGTCTGGAAACTTCCGGAGCATGCTGGAGCAGAAACTGTGCTTCAGGCCACCCACATTGATGTTCACCAGCCGATCCTCCGGATCCTGGTCCCACCTGGGGAGATTCCTCTTCACCATGCTGCACCTTTCTGCAGAAGCATAAACCACAGCCTGTCAGAGCTGCATACATACAGATATAATCCAATTCACTGTATGTATGTAGAAGGTAGGCCATACAGGGTGATTCAAAAAGATTCATCCGATTTCATGATTTATTTCACTTGTAAATCGTTACAGAACAATGCAGTAAATTGTAAATGGGTTTAAATGAGCATAAAGTTTGATGTAATTTTACAAGGTCCCAATATGAACCTCCTCCAGCTGTACAGACAACATCAACACCATAGTCAAATTCATCCCACACTCGATTGAGCATGTCGGGTGTCGCTGCACTCACGGCTCTTTCAGTGCGATTTCGGAGATCATGCAGTGTTGTGGAACCAACAAGGGACACTCTGAGCTGTCGGAGGTTCACTGCTGTTATGACGGATTCACTCTTATTGAAGTGGAAAACGCAGAACGCTTTCTGCTCAGGAGTCTCATCTCCTCGCAGACTGAAGGGAGCCATCTTCCACTGACAGTCAGAAACTCTATGACCTCTTCTTTGGTATGTGATTGGTTCCTAAGCGCCTCACGGTTGTTAAAATATGGCGCTTTGAAATTGGATAAATCTTTTTGAATCACCCTGTATTTTACATCTTGTAAAAAGTATGCCAGGCAGCTCACTGAAAATTTAAATGCAAATTTCACAGTAATGTCAATAAAACCATGCTGGTGTCAAATTATAAAGAGATGACTCTTAACATTTAGCATAAATTAGGTAACAGGTTTTGGTACAGTATTGTGCAAAAAATCAGAGACCACCATTAATATATTTAAAGTCCACTCAAAATGGTCATTAAGTATAAATTATTCCAACTTATCAGGGGATTTTTCGGATATTAGCTATAAGATAATCCACTTGCATAATGAAGAAGAAAGGGAGTACAAAAAAAGGAGCTGTATCCGAAACTGGAGTTCAAAAAATGAAAGATTCTTATCCCATGTGTGGTGTTGATGTGTTTGTTACTCAGTGGTCTGCTGGACCCACCGCATTATTGTTTTTTAAATCAATACAGTCATAACAATTTATGTAAAAATACCAGATGTTTAAAATATCACAAGTGTCCAGCGTAGGGTTCTCCTTTAGCAGCTGTAGCCAGTCAGCAGCCTGTCCATGTTGTCCACCCTCCCACACACACACACACACACACTAACAGCAGGCCATGTAGGAGGAGAACAGAGTGAAGAACACAGCACCTCCACACTGTTACTCCCCGCAGGTTCACCCAACAACACGTGTAATATATAAATGTGTGGGGGGTGAACAGAGTGACGTCACTGAAAATGGGTTATTTTATATGTTCTTCACAGAAAATGAACAAAGACCAAGAATCTGAGGTTGAAATAATAATAAATGGCATTGTTTTTTTCTTTTGGTAAACACACTGAAAATGGGTCCCACAGACCTGAACACCACACAAGGGTTAAAGCTTTCATCTTTGAGAGAGAGGAGAAAATCAAGCTGCTTCAGATCCGAAAACATCCACAGGTGTTTCTGTCCATCCTTCCACTGTGAGAAGACGACTCAGCGCTGTGGGTCTGAAAGGATGTGTAGCTGATCAAAAAGAACCTCACTGAGAAAAGGAGACAGACACATCAAACAAAGAAGCTGAACAATGGACTGACCACCCCAGAGTCCAGACCTCAACATCACTGAATGTGTTTGATTACTTCAGAAAATCATCAACCAGCTTCTAAGACTGAACTCTTGAGATGTGGAGTTCGTTGTTGAGGCTTGTCTGTAATTTTCTGTTTTATGATTTTTTTCCTGACACTGACAAATGGATGAATTTAACTCTTTAATGGCTGTTTTGAGTGGAAATTAAATGGATGAAGGGTCTCTGACTTTTGCACACTTTGTTTTCTTGCATGACAAACACAGAATATACAAAACATTAGGGCTGCATGCGTTACAACAGGTGTTCCTAATATGTTGTGTATAGCCACTTGTGAGTTGTGCGTACACATATTTTGGGCTTGTTTATATAAAAATGTCTACAAACCAACCAAAGGACACAGCGACTGTTGGCTGTTTTAGGTAAATCTCCTGCTTGGGCAGCAACAGCACCACAGAGAATTACCATCCACAGCAAACTGGATTAATGTAAGAAATGTTTCAAAGTGTTTTAACGTTCTTCTTTGCATAATCGTGTCCATGAATTATGGATGACACTGGCACAGTCCAGATGTATCACATCATATGCATTAGCTTTATAAATGTATTTGTAAATGTCAGCATATATTTGTAAGTGTGCTTATTTATTTAACGCAATACATCCAGCTGTAATCTGTTCTGTTGTCAGAAACAGGCCTATCCCAAAAGAGAACAAGGCAGACTCCCTATGACATCATTAAGCTGACCAGTGTACACTGTAAAATCACAGTGAAGTACTTTCACTGTATTTACTGTAGCATATTGACTGTAAATAACAGTAAAACCTCAGCTGTTTACTGTGACTTCACAGTCAACTGCCCACAACTGCTGTGATGCAGTTACATGTTACTGTAGAATTACAATAATCTCCTATATTATTATATTTGAACTTGGGCCTGAACTATATATTGGCTGATGGTTCCACAGATTTATAGGCATCATCAAAACAGGACACTGCCAACAGGACGCTGTTGGCTGGATATTTTCGGTTCTCAGTCCAGCAGCGACACTGAGGTGTTTAAAAACTCCAGCAGCACTGCTGTGTCTCATCTACTCGTTCCAGCGCAACACACACTAACACACCACCACCACGTCAGTGTTACTGCAGTGCTGAGAATGATCCACCACCCAAATAGTACCTGCTCTGTGAGGGTCCATGGGGGTCCTGACCTTTGAAGAACATGGTAACAGAGTATGCAGAGAAACAGATGGTCTGTGTAGAGTGTAGATACTAGGAGGTGTACTATATGAATTGGCCAGTCTGAAGTTGATTATTTCATGATTCAAGCTCAAACCTCTACACTAGTCATTTCAAAGGGTTCTCTGTAGTAGAACTAAAAGCATCTCCACAGAGAACCTCTGAAATGCTCACGGCTGAGTGATACAGTCTGGTAGGTAAACTGTCACGGTTCAGGTGAGCAGCTGCTCATTTTTATTACAGCAATAACAGGCTGAACTGATAAACCTGAACATGAAATACCATCATGGTTAACATTCTGAATTACTTAACCTGACGTACATTTCTGCCTTTGGCAGCTTTTTAAATCTCACCTGTTGCAGTTGCCGACATGTTCCTCAATACTGTGCAGAGCAATTCAATTACAAATGTACAATAATTTGCTGTCTTGTGACAGACAGCTCCTTATCCTGTACTGTTTCCACCATATAATCCTTCAGTAAACAGTGTTGAACTCCTCCTGCTTTTCCCCTTTTTCTGTATCTTATATTACTGATCAAATTTCATTCTTTGCTGTTATTGTTTCCTATACGGTGTCGACCAGAGGAAGATGGGTTCCCCTTTTGAGTCTTGGTTCCTCTAAAGGTTTCTTCCTCTTGCTCTTAGGGAGTTTTCCTTGCCACTGTCGCCATTGGCGACGCTCATTGGGGCTCAGATCTGGATTTTTCTGTAAAGCTATGTTGTGACAACACCTGTTGTAAAAAGCCCTGTATAAATAAACTTTGACTTGACTTGAGCTCACCTGCAGGATAGGCGTCCCTAATGTTTGGCAAACTGTAGGCCTATTTGGTAATGGTAACATTACTTACAGTTTATGGCATTCGGTGTAGCATCAATGTCTAAAGGATTTTTTAAAGGGTCCATATTTGACAGTTTTCATGTAGTTTTTTCTCCCGGAGGTCCACTATATTCGCACAGAGTGGGGGTCCAAAAGTCTGAGCACACCTTGAAAATCTTCAGAAATTTTGAAACATTTTAAACCAAGAAAGGTTGTGAGAAGTAAAATGAAGAAGAAACACTCAAGATTCTGCTCTATTTCTATGTCAATATTCACATTTAAGCGAATCTGTAACATTGTCAATTTTTGTAAAAAAGGTCAGGATTGTTTTTTCAAATTCTTTCTTCTGAAGCTCGTATTCAGACGACTCTCTGGTGGATTTGATCTGCCTATCAGAGGCTTCTACACAAACTTGTGGAGTCCAGTTTGAGTGCACACTGTCCTAAAGTACCACCAAATACTGCAAAATTCTGAAATTCATGTGAACAGATTCCATTTTTCACTCAAATTTTTGAGCTTGTAATGAAAAAGTGTATCATATTAGAAATGCAATGCAAACTTGACACATTTTCAGGAGTGCACTCAGATTTTGGGCCCCACTGCACATCATAAATGATGCACAGCTACTGCAAGATTTTCACATCTCTCAGATTTAATATGATACATTTTTTCCAATATATTAAATTCAGCAAATAAACAGAAATTGTGCACTAAAAATGTCATATTTAAATGTGTTCTTCACTCAGAAAACTAACATGGGTTTGTGCAAACTTTTGCATGCGACTGTTTAAGCTTTGCCTTTACAAAAGAGCCCCTAAAGATCCATTTTTTAGGGGTGTATGTTTATGTCCACACAGAGTGGGGGTCCAAAAGTCTGTCTACACTGAAGATGAAAATCTTCAGAAATTTTAAAACATTTTAAACAAAGAAACGTTATGAGAAGAAAAATGAAGACATTACATTCAGGATTCTGTTCTATTTCTAGGTCAACATTCACATTTAAGTAAATCTGTGACATTCAGACCTTTTTTGTACAAAATGGTCAGATTTGTTTTTTCATATTCCTTCCACTGAAGCTCATGTTCAGACAGCTCTCTGGTAGATTTGATGATGATCTGAGGCTTTTACAAACTTGAGGATGCTGTCATAAAGTAAAATACCACCAAATACTGCAAAATTCTGAAATTCATGTAAACATTTCAAAGATTCTACTTTCACTTAAATTGTTGAGCTTGTAATGAAAAAGAGCATCACATTAGAAATGCAATGCAAACTTGACACATTTTCAGGAGTGCGCTCAGACTTTTGGACCCCACTGCACAGTATAAATGATGCACAGCCACTGCAAAATTTTCAGATGCCTGGAAAATTTCGCTGCATTAAAATAAACACATTCACAACACATATTTAACGAAAACAACTTCAAACATCTCCCTCTGTTCTTGTTCCTGTGCAGCGCGTGGCACTGCTGGGAGCACAGAACTCTGCACAGTGTACTACTTTATTTTCCCCAGTATATCTGATTCAGCTCCAGAAGCTCTTCATGAGTCTTAATCCGGCTGAATCAGGTTTGGGACCAAGACCTGTTCTGCCTATTTAGGTCTGTATTAAATGATAATTAAATGCAAAAGCTTGTAGAAACGTAGAGAGCATGCAAAAAACTGCAAAAACCCCAGAGTGCACTTTCTCTGGAGGACTGTCTATAGGCGCTTTCTGCACTTAAGGTACAACTTAATCTATATTTAAAGAGAGGAGCTCTTTGCCATGTTGCTCTGAAGAGGTTTGGGGCGGGTGGGGGGCTGGAGGGGCAGCAAAACGGAAAAGTAAACAGCACGACACTGAGAGCAGTCAGTACTCACCCTTTTCGGCTAGTTTTGCGTTAAATTGGGGGTATTTCTTCCTGCTCACGACCTGGTCAGTTATTATTCTTTGCCACATTGTCAACCACTGGAACACGTCAGGTTACGGAATTAATCACATTTATCGTAATCATTTGCATATTTGCGTGCATGTTTATTCAGGATTTCCAAGGCGAGGCTGAAGTTGGCTTCCTATTGGAATTCGCCGTTCCACCTTAAATGCCGCAGCATTTAAATGAAACTGCTGGCGCGTTTAAGGTGGAACGGAAAATTCTAAGAGGAATCTGACTTCAGCTTCGTGGTTTGATGCAACTCACCTCGCAGACGGAACGCCGCACGTGCGCTCTCCTCCTCCGGCTTCTCTCATGTCCCTCGGGCACTTTCGGTCACCGCTCGGCCTCCCTCGATGCCCCGAGTCTAATCATTTGTCAGCTCGACGTAACAGTTGTTTTCAATGCAGCTTTGTTTGCAAACCGCCCCCCTCCGCGCGCCGTCCACCTCTGACGGTAAACCGAGAGGATCTCTCTGTCACAGTGACGCCCTTCCCGCGCGCTACACGGTGGATTCCTGCACGCGAGCCAGCGTTGGCGGCGCACGTGGCTGCTGTCACACCTACCCTGCTGAAAAATATCGTAGAAACCACTAAAAGTTCCTGTTGGTGTCCAATGGTCAGTAATGGTAATCTCTGCTTTCCTGATGGGTTGATATCACACTATATGGGATCCTAATGGTTTAACAGGTGTTCTGGGACGGATTCCAGATGCTTTCTTAATGGGATCTAAAGCTATCCTACAGTTTTCAAGTTTCAAGTTTGTCATTTGCACAACATGTCAGGACATTCATGCGTTGAAATGCTTGTGGGAGGCTCAGCTAGTCACTTTACAGCAGGACAGCATTATATACATACTAAACACAGTGCAGACAAAACAAAACTAAAAATACAAAAAGAAAATACTAAACTGAAATATATTAAATATACACAAAATATAGAGACAGGAGGGACCTATGTAATAAAAAACTCTGCCATGTACAAATATATTAAACAAGGGATAATCTCTAAAGAATATATATATTACAGTGACTAGTGTTATTGTCCATAGCAGTGATATGATATAATAAATAATACTAACAAAGTGACAGAGTGTAATGGTAACTGGGGAGGACCCACAGCATCACAGCTTGAAGGAAACTAGGAAACTAGTGGTCTGTAGATTAAGCCAATTCCCAGTAGAAAGCACAAATGTCAGGTTTTAACCCCAATCGTTCTGATGGTCTTTGTCAGCAGCGTACTTTTTCCATCCGTTTTTAGTCAAAAGGAGCTGAAATTGTTTTTGTCAACAAACAAAGAGATTTAGGTTACTTTACAAAGCAGAGGTAGATCATTATGTTACATATTATATACATGTTATATATTGCGTTATTTGTGTTTATGTGCACTTTGAGCAATGCAAATTAGTTACTTTCTGTTTTAAAAGTGTGCAGATTAGTATTGTTCCCAGATAGCCAGCAAATATCGGTCCACTGGCTTGATAAGGTCGGCGCCCCGCTGGCTGTTTACCACTGCTGTTCCACCCTCAGACCACCCAGATTACTGTCCTGGATGCAAGCTCTAACTAGTTTTTAATCATCCAGACTTTTATTTTAGAAAATAAACTTAGAATATACAAACAACCGAGAGAAAAAAAATGACTAGGTCTAAAATGATTTTATAAAAGATGATGTTGTTGCTGACACTGTGCTAGATTAAAATTATTCACTAAATTAATTAATTTAGAATAACTAAAGAAAGGAAGGAAGGAAAAATAAGTTAATTGCACTGCAAGTGAAAATGAGCGATGATAGGTGAATATTTTTCTATTACTCTGCTTAAATACCAGTGGACCGTCCAGAAAACACTGAGCAAAATGCCAGTGGACCGCCAGCTTTGCCATCAGTGGGCCAACAGTGGTCCACTATCCTCTTGCTATCAGGGTTGTGTCTACATTAGGGATGCATTAGGGACGGCAGTGGGACGGGCGTCCAGCTAATGTGTCTCAGAACACGACGTCTTCCTCTCGGCCTTCTTTAATAAGGACATGTGAAGGACGTTTTCCTCAGTCTGACATCATTTTAAAGTAATTAAAAACACAAGCGCTGCTCACTGCTGCTCGTCTCACTCTGACTGGACTCACGTGATGCTCGTTGTCATGGCAACGTCTACACTGAGTGGTGCTCTACGTATGCGCATAATTTTGGATCGGATTACTTGTAGTGAGCATGTAAACGGAGGTTTTCCATCAGATTGTTGAGTAGAGTGAGCAAATAAACACTTCGGTCTTAATCTATAAACGGAATAAATTCAATTCATAGCCACTGTGCACTGAAGTATACACAGTAGGACAGTACAGTCTTTCAACCACCTATGTTACGACCCGGTCTAGGGTCAGGCCATAACAGAGAATGAGAGTGGGCTCTCTCCCCAGACCTGCTGCCAGACCAGACACCGAACATCATTTAAACCAGAAAATGACAGGTTTATTAAAGGCTCAAACAAGCTGGGTTGATGGCTTCAGGGATGAGCTTTAGCCAAAATAACAAAACAACTAATGATTTCAAACTTAACTAAACTAAAAACAAAAGAAACAAAAGACATATAGGCTACCCTAACTCCCTACCTTAAACTGGAGAAAAGGTAACCAAAACAACACAGCACCTGTCCCCTACTTTCCCCAAGCTCTCAAAGCATAAACAGTCACAATTTTAACAACAGCAGCAAAGCAAAGCAGACAGAAGTGAAGAGTGCCGGGCTGGTCTGGTCTGGACAGGTGTTCTTCCAGGTCAAGTCAGAGGGGAGAAAGCCCTGAACGTCTCCCAAGATGGTGGCTCGATGACCCTTTATACTTCTGTGCGCCCCCCTCTGGCCAATCATGTACCTGCACATAAGGGGACATGCAACAGGGAAAACACAAAATGCCAGCACAAGGCACACAAAAGGTATATTACGACCAGGGGTCGTAACACCTACTTTAAAGACCATGTAAAGTCACTTTTATGCCTTGCAATTCCATTCAGTCAACCAGAGTAAAGTCACATATATGGACTTTGGTAGCAAATGCTGAAATGCTAAATTGTCAGTCTATCACATACCATCTAAAACATACCATTTGAATGCTGAACGCCTTAAAGGAATGGCAACAACAAAATCCCACAAATTAATAATAACATAAAACCACAAGGGTCTGATAGAGCATTTCTTTATTTATTTCATTCATTTAGTTATAATTATTCAATGGCTGTTCATTCATCTGTTTGCATCTGCAGTGGATTGTTCCAAGTGTTTGAGCCTCCTGGGGCCTTGTGGTCTGAGACCCTGCAAAGTCCTTGGCAATCAGAGGCCCCTGGGCTCCTGGGCACCGACCCAGTCAGTAATCCACCCCTGATAAAAGTGTTCAGACACACTGCAAAAATAGCTTTTACTTAAAGATAGTTTTTAACTTAAAAAATACAAGGTTAATTTAACATTTTACATTCACTGAACTTCAGATAAGTTAACAAATGTAAAACACACATTTTTCTTCTGTCAGCTTAATATCAGACATTTAATAAACTCAATTTTAAGTTAACCAGTTATGTTTTTACGTTAAAAAGTTGCATTATTTTTAGAGTTACAGGGTTGAGTGAATGTGAACTAAAATGTACATTTTTCATAACCTAAAATGGAGAAATCACTGAAAAAAGGATGTTGCAAGTGCAAGATGTTAAATGGATTCACATATTAATGCAAACATAATAAGATGAAAGTATTTTAATGCTTATATTTTAAGCTAAAGTGTAGTTATATTGGGCTGGGTCAGGCAAAAGTGCTGTTGATTTAATATGATGCCCCTGAATTCATGCCTTAAACCCTTTTTCATATCCCCTTATGATGGAATTGTATTAGAGTGCAAATATGCAGATGTTGGAAAAGGAACCCAGTTCATAGCAGTGTCAGGCTAAACATCATTTTGTTGTAAATTTGTAAAAAGCCTCTTCATGGAGAAGCTGATCACAGTGGTTAATAAACTGTTGTTGTTTATGCCCCCGAGAAGAACATTCAAGGAGTTGCCCAGATGTTTTCTGGCCCACAGTGAGATACAAGCCTATTTCAACCCCAGTTTAACCACATGCTAGAACTACAGTGGACACTGAGGATCCCAGGATCTCATGTTTGTCACGTAGGTCACGCAAGATTATTATTGATTCTGGGTTTCTAAGATTACACTAGGCTTTATCTGCACAGTGTAACTGAACTGCTTACTGTGACCGCTAGTGATTTCATATCAGAGATATTATGTCATGTTTTGGTAAGGGTACATATTCATAAAACCTCTCAGAACTCAGAGAAGGAACATGTTTGAGAATGAGACCTCTGCTTCAAAGCCTTTTCAAAAATGTCACTGTAGGTGCAACTCCTGTAAGCAGCTGTAGGCCAGTTTATGTGGTTTTAGGTATTTTAATCCTTTCAACACTTTGTATTTAAACATAAATTCAAAAGAAAACATGATGGACAGGAAAGTAGGATTGACTGCATTTTGTCCATTTTGTGTAGTTTTGTATATTTCATCTAGACACAGCAGCTATCCTGAGCCATGGACTGCTCAGAAGAAAAGACGATAAATGGATACAAAGTAAATGGATACAACATTAAGCATCAAAGCTGCAGTATACAGTGGCACTGTAAAGTGTTTCTTTTTTTGAAATGTGATTTTTAGGCTTGCTGGAAGATTCTTAAATGAAATGCTTAATTCTTTAAATAATTAATGAAGAATAGTTTTTGATACAGTGCCAGCGCTAATGCATTCTGCATTCTGCCAATCCAGTGTGCCCCTCTATGCAAACAGTTGGAGGTTTAGCCTGATTACAGTCTTAAGACTATGAGAATTTTGTTTTCAGTGTGTTTGATTTAAAAAAAAAGTACAAATTAGGCTTTAAAAAATGGCAGGGGAAAAAGAAAAAAGAAGAACAACAAAAGCAGTAAAGTGGGCTGTGAAGATAGACTGGAGCTGTTAATAAAAAGGAAGCTCATTGCTGCAGTCATGCAAAAACAAAACCTTGTATCTCCATTCGTCATGTTTTACTTTTTTGTAAAATTCATGCTGAATGGACCAATATAAATGTTTCAAAACTGCTTTAAAAGAAATCTTGTTACATTAACTTCAAAAGTTTTTTTCCTTCTCCTGTGAAGGTGCGGAGTAACAAAGTTTTGTTTCAGTTGTGAAACATCCTACTGCAAATTTTTAGCATTTTCAAGTTTTCCCCTCATAAACTGTTTCTGTGTTCAGATTTAATGTTCTCTTGACCTGTGAATTGTAAAGGTTTTAACTAAAGGTGAAGTATAAATTGCTTTGGTGTCAGCTGTGTATGATAAGGACCCTTTCTAGGCTCAGCTTCTATCTTTCAAAA